TGATGTCTCATGGGAGAATACAGATGGTGGCCATTTACCTCAGGCACTCTGCAGGGTGAAACTCTTTTCCTCTGTTACCTGGCCAGCACGTGCTGTGCAGAGCACTTCTGTTCAGAATATTTCTTTTCCCTACTTTTTGACCTTTCATTCCTTTGATAAATGTAAAAATCTCTACATCTTTGCTTCTTGTCCAAGTCATCGAACAGGACAACAAGAGCTCGAAAGGGTCCCTGGAAAGAGTGCACAGCACCCTAGGATCCTGCTGTTCTGGGGGAGCCATCCAGGAGGTCAGAAAACTCAGTGGGAGCTGGGGACCTTACTTGGCAGAGCCCGCACTCTGCCACTCACTGCCAAGTGCTCCTGCCAGCCCTGGCCATGCACCTGTGGCTTTGTCCTCCTGGCTTCCTGGAGTCTGCAGGACAGAAACCAGAACAGAGGCCTCCTGTCCTGGCCCCTCCTGGGTTGCACGATGGGGGAGTGGGAGAGACTCTGTGCCTGGGCTGGATGCAACCTCCGCCTTCCTCTGCCCGTGGGCCACCAGGCCCCTGAGGGTCAGAGTGAGAGGGAAGGCACGCAGGCCAGTCCTGCACTTTTTTATTTTTCAAACGCTCAAAATCAAACAGAGAAATCTGTGTCATGCCCTCCATGTTGTTCTGTCCCTAACACGTGGGGGGCTGTGGTCTACCTAGCACACGCGCACACACACACACACACACACACGTGTACACACGCACACACACCCTCAAGTACTTGAAGCCAGAGGTGCTGGCCCCAGGATTAGGGTGCCAGACCTTCCCGGGAGGTGGCACCTCCTCTCACCTCTGAGGGTTTCAGGCCAGCTCCACCCTGGCCAGGCCAGTATCACCAGTCGGGCAGGAGGCCAGAGCCAGCCCTGGGCGACAGGGGGAGGGAAATTGGCCCTCCCAGGGCACACTGGGTGACTCAGTTTACCACTGCGGAGGGAGGAGCCCTGAGGCCCTGGGGTTCGGGACCCCTCACCGTTCATTCGGAGGCATGGGCCAGGGTGCAGTGGAGCCTGGGACCTGGAGCAGGGCTGTAATTCGGTGGAGGGTGCAATCACAGCTGCTCCCCGGCCCTTGCCAGGCCCCAGAGCCTCCCAGGAGAATGGGCTGTCCCCGCAGAGCTCCCAGCCCCTCCTGTACCAGCCCCGCCCTGGACCTAGGTTGGAGTTCTTTCTTTGTTTTCCTTTTCCGTTGCAATCCCGGGGAGGGAGCCCAGGGCTAGACACAAGGCAGCAAGCGCTCTGGCCCTGAGCTGCCTCCCTGGGACTTTTTTCTTTTGAGAGGCATTTTGCTAAGTTGCTGGTCTGGAACTTGCAATCTTCCTGCCTCGGCCTCCTGAATAGCTGGGATCATAGGCTGTGCTCCTTCGCCCAGCTCAGGAAGGGGTCTCTAGGCCAGTTAGTGGGGACCCTGCTGATCTACAGTTCCAGAACCGATGGTGCTGGAGTGGAGTGGCGCATGCGTGTCGAGGGAGGGAAGCAGTGGGCGGCTCCTTGCGCTTGGTCTCTGTGTTGTGCATTTAGTCACTCAGCCTTGTTTCATTTCATTTGAAATTTTCTTGTTTATTTGTTTTTAATTTTTAAATTTTTTCTGAGACAGGCTCTTGCTATGTATTTAAGACTGGCCCTGGACGCACTACGGAGCCCAGGCTAGTTAGGAACTTGTGAGATCCTCCTGCCTCAGCCTCCTGAGTACTGGGATTATAGGCGTGGCCACCATGCCTGGTTTTCTTGTTTACTGTGAAACTTCTAAGAAACCTATAGGAAAGAAGACTTTTGAGCCAAGATATTTCCTCTGTGTCACAGTTCCCTGTCCCTCTTACCAGACAAAGGGAAAATATTAACTGGAATGAGGGGAAGGAGATAAAATTAGCTTCCTGCAGATGAGGTCCCCTTGCCCAGGGCTGTGGAGACGAAGGAGGGCATTTAGTCCCATGGCTTTCACATTCCCTCTCTTCTTAATTTTTGGCAGCACTAGAGATTGAAGCCAGGGCCTTTGCACCGAGCTACATCCACAGTCCTTTTTAATTATTTTTTTGAGGTGGGGTCTCACTAAGTCACTCAGTTGCCCAGGCTGAGCTGGAACTTATGATCCTCCTGCCTCAGCCTCCTGGAATACTGGGATTACAGGTGTGCACCATCATGCCCAGATTATTTTTAATTTGGGGGCAGGGTTTCACTAAATTGCCCGGGGGGCTGTTCTCAAACTTGTGATTCTCCTGTATCAGCCTCCCAATAGCTGAGATTGCAAGAGTGTGGCACTATGCCCAGCTTCAAATTCTTTTTTAAAAGCACGGGGAGCTGGGCATGGAGACTCATACTTGTAATCTTAGCTCTCAGGAGGCTGAGGCAGGAGGATCACTGTGAGATCAAGGGCAACCTGGGCTGCACATTGAGACGCTGTCTCAACAACAATAACTGAAAAACCCAAAACCTCAAAAAAACAGAAACAAGGGCTGGGGATTTAGCTCAGTGGTTTCACTGCCTGCTGCGCAAGCACAAGGACCCGAGTTTGATCCCTGGTACCAAAAAATAAAAAATAAAATAAAATAAAACAGAAGGAAAGAAAAGAAAACCACTAATATGACCCCTTCAAAGGAAGACATTGAGGAGTCGTGTGAGGGGCAGAGGCCGGGGCCGACAGGCTGGCCTCTCCTGGGTAGACCCTGGCCCTGCCCTGCATCTGTGAGAAAAGCTTCCAGTCTCTACCGCGTCTCTTGGGAAGCCATCCCCGCCTCTCTGGACACGGTGGAGTCTTCCCCGCTCGTTCTTGTCACAGCGCTGCTCCGGCTGGCATGTCCACCTCGGCTCTTTCTCCTCACGAGGATGGGAGAGTCCAGGGTCCAAGTCCCACTGAGTTTCATCCCCTCCGTGTCTGGTGCGTCTGGCGGGGTACAGGCATCCAGGATGTTTCAGATGGATGGGCTGTAGACAGACAGGTGGACAGGTGGATGGACAGCAGGTGGTGAGCAGGGTGCACAGAGGCCAGGCGTCAGATGGGGCAGCCAGGCAGTTTCCTGTCAGGCTCCTCAGCATGGATCCCCACTGCGGTCATCTGTGTGAATCTGCTTCCTGGAATATCACACCTGGCACACCTGGCCATATTTAGATGCAAGAAAAAAAGCAACTTCCCAAGCCAATTAGAAGTCGTTGAAACAATCATTTTGGGATAATCTGAGCTCCAAAAAGGGTTGTGCTTAACTACACGGATACAGTAGCTGGTGGCAGCGAGGAACGCTCTGAAAATAGCATAGCTTAGAGAGAGCAGGCAAGGCGGGGGTGGGAGGCAGGGCACACGATGGGAGGCACGGAGGAGTAGGATGCACCTTACAGGGGCTTCCTGTGGTTAGGATCAAGAAAGTTCTGGAAAAGAAAGGCAAATGGAAGCCGGGCACGGTGGCACATGCCTGTGATCCCAGCTACTGGGGAGGCTGAGGCGGGAGGATGGAAGGTTCAAGGCCCCGTCCACCCGGGAGAGGAGGGAAGTGCAGCGGCTGGGGCCGGGGTGACTGAGCCGGCCCGAGCTTCCCGATCCCAGCTCCACGAAGCTGAATAAAGAAGTCAGTGTTGTGAAGGGCCTGTGTGCAGGGCCACGCCTGTCATCCCAGCACTCTGGGTGGCTGAGCCAGGGGGATGCAGCCCAGACTGGGCCGATTATCGAGAACCTGCCTCAGAATTCAAAACAAAATAAAACAAAGAGAACACGAAGCTGTGGGGATGTACTGTACCTCAGTGCGAAGGCCCTGGGCTCGATCCCCAGTACTGAAAGGGAGAGTAAGGAATCCCCTCACGTTCCCATCCTGGGCTTCCCTACTTAATTTCCACCTCACCTGGCTTGCTTTCTTCAACCGCTGGCAGACAGCAACGTGGAGACACACACGCACACATGTGGAGGATGTACCTACATTTGCATATATATTGTCATAGTGCTTTGTTTTGTTTTTGAGTATGGGGGAATCGAACTCAGGACCTTGGGAATGCCTGGAAGGGGCAGCACCACTGAGCTACATCCCCAGCTCCCCAGCCCCTGGCTTATTGTTCTTTTTAAAGCTGGGGATTGCATCGAGAACCTTCCTACTGAACTACACTCCCAGCGCCGCTTTTATTTTTTATTTCCTGAGACAGGACCTCACTCAATTGCCCAAGCTGGCCTCAAACTTTCGAGCCTCCTGCCTCAGCCTCTCACATAACTGTTTACAGATTTGTACCACCATGATGGGCACTAACACTGCTTTTACCAAAAGAGAATGAGGGGCTGAGGATTTAGCTCAGTGGTTCCGGCAGCAAGATCCGCCAGGGCTCAGCACCCTGCCAGCCCCCACCACAGGGCTGAGAGGTCGCACCGGACCCCCAGGCCCCAACTCGGTGCCTCAGTCCAGGCAGGCGCTTGCCATGCATCTCCTGGAGTCTTCAACACTTCCTCAGGGAAAACTCCATGCTGAGGGGCCAACCCAGGTCCCCAAGCCAGACTGAACTCAGATCTGACAACAAATCCCGAGCCACTCCACTGCGTGGGCGGGCTCTGCTGGAGCCTGGTCCCAAGGGTCAGTGAAGGTTATCCGGATTCTGTATGTTTCTTTTTTTTTTCTTTATCTAGACTCAGC